AGCTGATCCAAAATGCTGCAGCAAGAGTCCTGACAGGGACTAGAAAGAGAGAGCAGATTTCTCCTGTTTTGGCTTCCTGTTAAATCCAGAATTCAAAATCCTGCTCCTCACATACAAGGTCTTAAATAATCAGGCCCCATCTTATCTTAATGACCTTGTAGTACCATATCACCCTATTAGAGCACGTCGCTCTCGCTCTGCAGGCCTACTTGTTGTTCCTAGAGTATTTAAAAGTAGAATGGGAGGCAGAGCCTTCAGTTTTCAGGCCCCTCTTCTGTGGAACCAGCTTCCAGTTTGGATTCAGGAGACAGACACTATCTCTACTTTCAAGATTAGGCTTCAAACTTTCCTTTTTGCTCAAGCATATAGTTAGGGCTGGACCAGGTGACCCTGAATCCTCCCTTAGTTATGCTGCAATAGACGTAGGCTGCCGGGGATTCCCATGATGCATTGAGTTTTTCCTTTCCAGTCACCTTTCTCACTCACTATGTGTTAACAGACCTCTCTGCATTGAATCATATCTGTTATTAATCTCTGTCTCTCTTCCACAGCATGTCTTTATCCTGTCTTCCTTCTCTCACCCCAACCAATCACAGCAGATGGCCCCGCCCCTCCCTGAGCCTGGTTCTGCTGGAGGTTTCTTCCTGTTAAAAGGGAGTTTTTCCTTCCCACTGTCGCCAAAGTGCTGCTCATAGGGGTCATATGATTGTTGGGTTTTTCTCTGTATCTATGAAGCGCCTTGAGGTGACTTTTGTTGTGATTTGGCGCTATATAAATAAAATTGAATTGTTCCAACTTAATACCTCAGGCAGCAGAAACCCAAGAAAGAGGAGGGAGACGAGGAACCATCATGGAAGTACAGGCCCCTCACGGTATGTACCACCGGCAGGTAGAGGAGGCTGATATCCAGAAATCCTACCAGTGGCTGGACAAAGCTAGACTTAAAGGGAAGTTCTAATAATATCAAGAGCTGGAGAGGATGTGGAGGGTGAAGGTAACAGTGGTCACAGTGGTAATCAAAGCACTTGGTACGGTGACCCCCAAACTAGGCAAGTGGCTCCAGCAGATCCCAGGAACAACATCGGAGATCTCTGTGAAGAAGAGTGCAGTCCTAGGAACAGCTGAGATACTGTACAGGACTCACACAGACAGGACTGGAACTCAAAACGCTGCCTTAATGCTGAAAAACCCTCATAAAAATAACTCAAAAACAAAACAAAGTAGAAACACTGGAACACGACAAACACACGGCATGGAGAAAGTACAACACAAAAGAGAGCAAAGGCAAACAGAGGGCTTATATACACAGGGAGTAATCAGGGAATGGGAAACAGGAGGGAGACACAGCTGGGAGAGATTAGGACTAACGAGACAGGGGCAGGTAAAACTGAATACACTGACATAGGACTGGGACTATCAAAATAAAACAGGAAATAAGACACAAATCACAAACACTCAAACGTGACACTGAAGGATAGACAGAAGGAATATAACCCATGAAACAGAAGACAGTGACTTAAACTAGAGGCCAGAACAACAAATGACACAAAGAGAACAAAACCCTTAGTGCACTGTATTGTTAATTTGAAGAAAGAAAGACAAAATCTGAGATCTCACAGTACTATTTCAGGATTAAAGAGTAAACAGTATTTCAACTTTAACCCTGAAATATTATATAATTTTATAATAATTATTATTATATAATTTATTTCATTACCGAAATATTTTTATTTTCAAAATTAACAAAAATAAAAAAGATCTTTGATTAAAGCACAAAGATCTGAGATAACAGTTGAAACAGCATGAGGGGCATAAGGCAGTGTCAGTCCATGCAACATTCATCAGGCAGCACATTCTCAATGAATCCCAATCTGAAGAGGCGGCTGCACAGGCGTGCCAAGGTAAGAACCACGCTCGTCTTTTTGGGCTGAAGCGTTAATGCCCGTCTGCTCTGACACACCGTGAGCTGCTGCAGCTCAGTCTGTAGGTTGAGCTCCACTAAAAGTCTCAGCAGACAAGCAGCTGCTTTCACAACATCACAGCTGGAATCACACAAAACTGACCTGTGATCAGACATCATCAGGTGATATTTCAGGAGGAGACAGACGGTAAACTGCATGCAATCATTTCCTCTCTGACACAACAGGAAATTCCAAACTTCCCAAATTGACTCAGAAAAATCTGCATATTTTCTTTGACCGCAAGATCAAAGAGAAAAAGACGTGAACCCACTTACAGCTCTGCTGCAGCAGCATCAGCACCTCTGCAACCAAACACAGCTGATCCAGAGCTGCAGCTCAGGGCTGCTTTTAGAGGAGGAGAGGGGCGATGGCGGGGGGGTGGAGGAGGAAAGGTGGCACCTCCTCCGGCTCCTCCCGTCATCTTCCTCATTAGAGGTGGATTTACATGTTTGACTTGTGAATCAAAAGGATTTTCTGGTCACACTGAAGCATCTGTTGTGAGTTTTGGAGAGAAAGCAACACATCGTCTGCACATAGACTGATTTTATGTTTACATTTTATGCCCTTAATCACTGTATTCTGTCTAATTGCTGCTGCTAGTGTTTCGACAAACACTGCAAACAGTGAAGGGGAGAGTGGGCATCCCTGCCTGGTGCCCCTCAGGAGACAGACGCTGGACGATGTTTGCTCATTTGTTCGGACACAGGCTGTTGGGGAGTTTTGTGTAAAGTTGCAAATAAAAATTTCCAGTTAACTCTTTAAAATGTGTGTAGAGACACGGGAGCAGAGAGCACGAGGCAGTTGGGAAGAAGACGTGGCACGAGAGCCAATGAACTGTTTACATCGCTGTAAATAAACGCACTCGTCATCATTAAGAGTCCTGCATCTGGGTCTTCACTCCCACATCCCCACGGTTGGCCAGCGCTAACCGTGACAAAGAAAGAATATTCCTTACTGTTGGGGTGAAGGGAGCGCCAAAGTCGCAAAGCCAGCATCGCTCATCTACAGTTTGATTATATTTGTGGACTGCGCTGACTTCCTGCTGTGTTGAGCCTTTCTCTCTATTTAGTCCGAAGATGAGGTCGAGTGAGTAATTTAGGTGTTCAGAGAGTGCAGTGGAAGAATGAGGCGTCGTCAACATTTGGGCCATATTCACTTACGATACACAGCTTGTTGTCAAGTATAGATCATTTAATAATTATGAATCTAATCTCTTGATCTATGACTGTGAGTACTTTCAAATCAATATTTTTATGTCTATTGCTAACCCCTTTGTAGCTCACTACATACATACAGGCTGAGAACACGTTAGGAAACCTGTGACAGGCCTGTGGGTCATGGTCTCGGTCATATCACCCAGTGTTTGGAGTTCCTTGTGTCCTTTGTCATGTTGTGTTACTATTTGTGTTTTAGGTCCAAGGTTTATTCAGTTTATTAGATTTCCCCTCGTGTCTTTGCCCTCTGTCTCATGTTCCTCTGTTTCCTGTTTTATTGTGAAGGTCTCGTGTTTCCGTGTTTGTTCCTCGTTATCCGTCTCTCATGTCAGCGTCTCCCTCATGGTTGTGTGCGTTTCCCAGTGTTCCCAGTATCGTTTTGTATTCCCTTTTCCATTCTGAGCAGTAAAGCTGTATTTTGAGTTCATGTTTCAGTGCATGAGTCTGCGTTTGGGTCCGCTCTGTGCTGCCTGCACAGTTATGTGTCTGTTGTAAGACAACGTCCGCCTGGAGTTTTTCACGCTGGTTAAATATCTTTCTGTGCATTTTTAATGGGGCAAAACTGGAATTCACAGACTAATGAATAACATCACATTTCATCTTTACAGTCTGTGCAAAGTGAGGGACATGCCTGCTTCCTGATGATGCTCCCTTTGGCTCGTAGCGCTGCTGGTGGACCGTCCTGGAGCGGTGACACCGCCGGCGCTGAAGGTCATGTGACAGCCTTCAAACCCAAAGACGCATGATTTTCTTTTACAAAGGCTGGAATCCAATAAAACAAAAAGACTTAACACAAATGAATAATCACACTAATCTTTCTTTGTATTATAGAAATAAAATAAGGTGGAATAAAATCATTACTTTTGCTCTGTGGGCCCGAGTAGTGTAGTCAGTGTTTCAGGATTGCTGAAGAATCCCACGAGGCAGAGCAGCATCGTCCTGTGTTATGTATCATGGTATTAAACCTGCTTTTTACCAACAGAGGGGGGAAACTCCTTTCAGGTGAGTTACTGTTATTACTTCTGTGCTCACATTTGGAAGTGAAATGTAATGTTTAAAGACAGCAAAGACGATTAAAACCACAACTTGTCTAATAGACACCAGTTTACTGAGCTCGAAGTCTTAAAATGATCAAATAAATAAACCATGAGACTTCAGGCTGATGGGGATGTTTGTGTTTCCATCTTTCTTCACAATAAAAAATGACCTGTGATAAAGTCTTTGAGCGTGTGATCACAAAAACATCAGATACCAGTCTGGAGGATAACTCCAGCCTTCACGATGGTGCATCCCAGTAAACGACTCTATCATCCTGTCACTGTTATGTAACTCGTTGTACAGTAAATTATCCAAAGGAAAACCCGTTAAGTTCAAAAACTGTTGTATGAAAAGACTGTTTTTAACAGGAAGCGATGGAGCTCAGAGCAGCGCAGCTTCCACTGCCGCACGCTGCAACGATCACTCGATGCAGAGACGTGTGGCGTCCCTGTGCTGCAGAGTGGGCAGCGTCGCTGCTGAGCGCTTACCAATAACTCATTTTTACTGAGTGAGGGAGCCTGGGCCTGCTGACTGCTTCTTAGGCATTGCAGCGCCACCTTGAGGCAGGAACACAGCACAGCAGTACCGTCTTTGACCTGAACGCAGAGGTTGAACCTCGCGTGACAGGATCACTGAATATTTCATATGAGCTTTAACATATCAGGTGGATAATGTTTTAAACTTTGTTGTGCTGCGTTTATCTGTTTTAATGTCAGGTTTGGGTTGTTTTCACTGAAATCCTGAAGAGGCACACAGACACGGACACATGTCGGACTTTTATCTAAACACAAACTTTTATTCAGAAACAAACAGTACAAAATACATGCAGCTGTTTCAGAGGAGCTGCTTCAAGGCGCCTGCGAGCTTTGGAAATATTTGGATTTTAAAGGCAGGTTTTAATATTTTCAACAGCAGGGGGCAGCGTTTCTTGAGCTGGCGTTGTTTTAACTTTAGTTTTTGATGTTTCTAAATTTTCTCACAGATTTTGTTTGCCCGGCTGCAGCTGCAAAGGCACTGCACCAACGCCTGGTAGAAATTTGCATCACAGTCCTGCTTCCTTTGGCATCTGTTAAACATAATTCATAAAGGTTTTAGGCATAAAATCATTTTTCAACACATTCTCGTGATGTCTTTCTTGGAAGCATTTAAAGTATTTAAAAATGAAAATACCTTTAAAAATAGCACCCTGTGACATAAAAAAGATTATTCCATTTCAGTAAAGTAGTTTCAGAGGAGTGAACTAAACTAATCATACATGGGTGGAGGACAAGGCGGCTCCTTGTGTGTGTTTAAGTCTTTACACTTTAACTGCCCAGAACAAAACCCACTGTGGACGAAGCTGCTCTGAGGTCGCTCTGCTGCTGTGTCAGCTCTCAGTGCAGATCGGTGGCCCGGCGCCTCATCTGTGCTTTGACAGACAAACTCTCTCGCATTCTGCCTGCGTCGCAAAGCGGTTTTCGTTACCTCCGCAGCCGCTGTACCAGAAACGGGAGCAGACGCTGCGTTTGTGGTCGAAGAACCACCTGACCGTGTAATTCACACAGTCGCCAGCATCCTTGCCGAGGAAGCAGATGCCTGCAAGAGGTGACAGGAGCGAGGAGGCAAAATCAGCTCACAGAAAAACAAACTCAATAAAACAGAACAGAAGAATAGAAGAGCCCTTTATTGTCATTGTACATGTGCAAAATTATGGGCGCTCTGCAACGGAGGAAGAAAATATATCAATAGTAAAGGGCTTCAGGAATACATAGCAGACAGATCGGGGTCAGCAACCTTTAACACCCAAAGAGCAGTTTGGACCCAGCTTGTTGTTACCATAGTTCATGGAGGAGCTGCTCACTTACGTTTGTGGATCCAAAGATCCATGCTTGGCCTGCCTGGGGTTGAAAGCCTCGATAAATCCACGGCGCTTCGGCGGGTACGGTTATTTTGAGCGATGAAGAATACTAACATATAATTTTATTTTTGTATTTCAAGATCACGATAATCTTCCAATTGCGAACTACAAGTTAAAAAAGAACCAAGACAATTAAAATACACTTCAGTTACTTGTCATTTTTTTCCAAACCACGTGGAGCCGCAGTATAAGGACTAAAGAGCCGCAGGTTGCGACCCCTGCTCTAGAGGAATGTGAGTGTGTGAGCGTCCTGAGTGATGAGGGTCACTCAGACCATGCCTCAGATTGGTGGGCAGGGGTCGGGGAAGAAGCTGTTAGTGAGTCTGGAGGTGTGGCAGCTGACTGACCTGAGGCGCAGACCAGAGAGCAGTGGGTCAAACAGGTGGGGGGCGGGGTCACCTGTGATGGCCCTGGTTTACTTGAGACAGGAGGATCTGGCGATGGCCTCCAGGTGTGTCAGAGGGCAGCCAGTGATTTTTTGGGGGGTGTTAATGACCCTCAGTGCAGCCTTCCTGCTCTCAGTCGTGGCCCCTGAGTACAAACACCTGGCAGGAGGATCACGCTCTCCACTGAGGAGGGTAGAGCAGCAGCTCTGGGCCTTCTTTGCCAGGGTGTTTGATTTGATTTTTGCAGACTATTATTAAATGCATAAACAATGAAGAGTGAACTGAACAGGAAGTCTGAGCTCGGATATCTGCCGTCTGCTCTGAAGGCTGGGAAATATCAGTCGTTGTCCTCACACGGTAGGCTAGCAGGACACTGGGCACAGTTTATGTATCGAGCTGCAAAGTGCAGCTGTGCTTCTTACTAATAACACTGTAACCTCCTGACACCCAGCACACTCGTTTATGTCCTCTGAAGGGGAATTTATTTTAGTCTGTATCTTTTGACCGGTTTGAGCTACCCCACTAAAAGACTTTCCCTCAGTTCTCGGCTGGTTAAACTGAAGTAGGCTGAATGTTTGTGGCTCATGTTTTGGTCAATGTCTCCCTATTTGATGATTGCAGACTGTAGGTGCGATGTCACTGAGATCATCTGCGTTCCTCAAACTCAGCGTTCTTCCCGTCATCGTAGCGAGGAAGAGAAAGGACAGTGTGACTGAGAGCAGGTGGATGCTCACCTGTGGACACAAAGCTGTCCAGCTGCTTCGTCGGCTCCACGTCCACATCTGTCAGAGACCAAACAGTCAGCAGGGAGTGCGAGCTAAAGCTGCAGAGCTTCAGTGAAGCAGGTTTCATTAGAGCACTTTACAACACCACAGGCTGAGTTACACCCACAGGGGAGAAATAAACAGCAACACAGACGGCCATAAACAGGCCAGTGATCCGAGTGTGTGCTTGTTAATGATGTGGACTCACTGACGACTGAATGTGAACCCTTCGTGGTTAAAATCTGTTTGTTTTTAACTAATTAGAAACATGTCTGTAAAGGTTCTCAGTCATCCAGCTCATCGTAGTCTGAGGAGCTTGGAAAGAAAAGCGTCTGGACTTCTTTAAGTTGCTTGAAGACGTTTATGCTTCTTCAGTTCTTAGAGCAACTGGTTTAAGCCCCGGCCCAAGAGGGGACGACGGACCCCCTAATGATCCTGTACCTAATCACACGAGCCGAGGTATGAAAACAGGTGCAGGTCACAATCAGCCAAGGGTTTGGGTGAAACCTAACTCCACCCTATCATGTGATTTCATTCCCAACGCCTTAACACCCAATCACATCCTGGGCCTTCTGACCTCAGGGAATCAGCCTCTTTGCTGATTTGATGAAAGCCCAATTAGGATAACCGCATGTTTTAAGAGCTTTCTTTACACGTGTGGGTTCACCCAACATCTTGGTTGATTGTGACCCCCACCCATTTTCACACCCAGGCAGAGGATCAATAGGAGGTCCACGACCCTCGTAGGGACACTCCCACAGGGCTTAAAAATCTGGGACGCTCCACCAGTCGCTCTGAGAACTGAAGAAGCTTCTCGGGTGAAACGTCTTCAAGAAACTGAAAGTGCAGATGCTTTTCTTTCCAAAATGTTTTTGAATGTTACTGAGCACTAATTAGTGAGTGTGTGTGTGTGTTTATGTGTGTGTGTGAGTGCTCTACCTGTGAGGTCAGCTCCTGAAAACGACCTCTTTCTTTTGCTCAGAGTGTTGATGACGCTCAGGTTTCTTGCCAAGATTCCCGTCTGCTCCTGGAACCAGTTTCTCGGCTGATCGGAAATCTCCAGCTCCCAGTCTGCTGAGCCCTGACTGGACACAGAGCAGCGGCACTCGCTGAGCCATCACAATAGCTTTCTGAATAACATGTTTAATTATTGCTGCTCCGAAACTGCTGTTTACTAACATTTATGTGCTTTATATTTCAAGGCATAGAAATACTACAGAGAAACCCAACAATCAGACGACCTCATATGAACAAGAACTTGGCAACGGTGGGAAGGAAAAACTCCCTTTTAACAGGAAGAAACCTCCAGCAGAACCAGGCTCAGGGAGGGGCGGGGCCATAAAAAACAAACTGGAGTCTATTAGATAGATATGATACAAACCACTGCAGCACAGTACCTGTAATACCTACAGCATGTTCTAATCGCTCTAATAGGATATTATGGTCGACAGTATCGAACGCTGCACTGAGGTCTAGCAGGACAAGCACAGAGATGAGTCCACTGTCAGAGGCCATAAGAAGATCATTTGTAACCTTCACTAAAGCTGTTTCTGTGCTGTGATGAGCTCTGAAACCTGACTGAAACTCTTCAAATAAACCTCTGCAGATGATCTGTTAGCTGTTTGACAACTACTCTTTCAAGGATGTTTGATATAAAGGAAGGTTGGAGATTGGCCTGTAATTAGCTAAGACTGCTGGGTCTAGAGATGCTTGTAGAGTAAAGGTTTAACTACAGCCAGCTTGAAGGCCTGTGGTACATAGCCGATTATTAGAGATAGTTGATCATATTTAAGATCGAAGAATTAATTAATGGCAGGACTTCTTTGAGCAGTTTTGTAGGAATGGGGTCTAAAAGACACGTTGATGGTTTGGAGGAAGTAATTATTGAAGTGAACTCAGAAAGATCAGTTGGAGAAAAAGAGTCTAACTTAACATCAATGGTACTAAGAGTAGCTGTAGATAATATTACATCTGTGGGATGATTACTGGTAATTTTTTCTCTAATGATAAAAATGTTATTTGTGAAGAAGTTCATGAAGTCATTACTAGTTAACGTTAAAGGGATGGTTGGCTCAACAGAGCTCTGACTGTTTGTCAGCCTGGCTACAGAGCTGAAGAGAAACCTGGGGTTGTTCTTATTGTCTTCAATTTATTTGTGAAGAAGTTCATGAAGCAATAAAGAGAAACTTATTCCAGTTAATTAGTGCCAAACAGTAAGAGATGACATTGTCTCCAGCTTATGGGTTATCTGCTTTAAGGTGTGTTTGTGTGAGCTACACAGATGTGTTGTTGATGACAAAGCTGTGTGAGTCTGTGTGAGTCTGTGTGAGTCAGTGTGAGTCTGTGGCTCAGTGTGAGTCTGTGTGAGTCAGTGTGAGTCTGTGAGTCTGTGTGAGTCTGTGTGAGTCAGTGTGAGTCTGTGTGAGTCTGTGGCTCAGTGTGAGTCTGTGTGAGTCAGTGTGAGTCAGTGTGAGTCTGTGGAAGCTGTGGCTCAGTGTGAGTCTGTGTGAGTCTGTGTGAGTCTGTGTGAGTCGTGGAGCTGTGAGGGAGCTGTGGCTTAGTGTGAGTCTGTGTGAGTCTGTGTGAGTCTGTGGAAGCTGTGGCTCAGTGTGAGTCAGTGTGAGTCTGTGTGAGTCTGTGGAAGCTGTGGCTTAGTGTGAGTCTGTGTGAGTCTGTGTGAGTCTGTGGAAGCTGTGGCTCAGTGTGAGTCTGTGTGAGTCTGTGGAGTCTGTGTGAGTCTGTGGAAGCTGTGGCTTAGTGTGAGTCTGTGTGAGTCTGTGGAAGCTGTGGCTCAGTGTGAGTCAGTGTGAGTCTGTGTGAGTCTGTGGAACCTGTGGCTTAGTGTGAGTCTGTGTGAGTCTGTGGAACCTGTGGCTTAGTGTGAGTCTGTGTGAGTCAGTGTGAGTCTGTGTGAGTCTGTGGAAAGTGTTACCTGTTCGTGTCCAGAGTGTCGCCTGGCTCTGACAGCTGGCTGCAGGTCAGTTTAAATGGGAGTGGAGGATAAGTGTTGAGTCCCTCTGAAATAAACCCGAACAGCCCGTCAGTGTGTGTCTGGTTACAGACGACAGGGAGATCTGAGCGTGCTCTTACTGTTGAGGGCGGAGAGGAAGACCCTGATGAAGCGCTGGGCGTAGCCCTGCTCGTCGGCCTTCAGCCTGTCGAGTCTGATCAGGTGCTGCTGTATCGGCACGCTGGCCAGCTCCTCCACCTCCATCCGGTTGTAACGATCACCCACCGTCACCACAAACAGCGCCACCCCCTCACACTTGGCCTTCTGGGAGATGTAGCGCAGCTTGGCCTGGTCTCTGTAGGCCGTCTTGGTGCCCACCACAGTCAGGACGGCCCTCTTGCTGCGCGGCTGGCCGGCCTTCAGCAGCACCTCCCTCAGGGTGTAGTCCAGCATCTGTCCCAGCGCCAAAGAGCCGCCCTGCTGCTGCATGTTCTGCATCATGTACGTCTTCATGTCTCCAGCGTTCTGGTAGGTCTGCAGGCCGAACTCCACCTTGGTGCTCTGTTGGACCAGAGCTACTCGGGCCTGGCGGCCGGCTCGGCGGGGCTGTGGACTCACGGCCAGCTGCTCCACCACAGAGCTCAGCAGCTGCCGGGCACCGGCGTATTCATCGGCCTGGATCTCCCTGGAGCTGTCCAGCACCATGACCAGGTCCACATCGCCTGCTGAGGCAGCACTGGTTCCTGGATGAAGGCGCACTCCTCTGCACGCCTGCAGGGGTCTGCAGAGACAGCAGCAGCCACTGAAAACACCTTTATTCATCCACATACGCTGCTCGTGTATTTAACGTTAACTTCATTGTAAAAAGTGATTTTTCTCACGTATTACCAAAACTGAAACAAAAAAGTCTGATATTGTGTAAGTGTTTTTCATCCAGGGAAGGATTAGACACCTAAAGGCATAAAGTTATGTATCAACCAAAGTCTCTGTCAGTGTACAGAAGTTAAATATTTAACTGTTTTTCTACACGATGAACAAAGAAAGAAATGTGTGAAATCACAGAAAAAGTTCTGGAAGTTTTGTTTTTAACTGCAGTCGTATAAAAACCTTTCATTTGTTATTGCTTAATGACTCAGGGAGGTTTTAATCAGCAGGGAAAGTCGTAAAACTGCAGCAACTTGTTGGCGGTGAGCAGCAGATCCAACAAGTTAGAATCAAAAATGGCTTCAAGTGCACATTCAGGGCTGTGAGACTCGCAGGGGAGAACACGCATCACGTTTAAGGCCTGGACAAGTTGAATCGTTTTGTTCTCCATCGTGGAAAAATGGCTGAAAATAAAACCAGGCCAGCTTTAAAAACTCTGCACTCAGCTCTGCGGTCTCATCCCTGTGTTTCTGTCTGTGCACTCGGCCTGAAGCTACACTTGCTGCCTCGGAGTGTCGGCCCCCTTCCTTCTGTCACATATCGGTATAAATAAAGTCCCACCCCTACCTACTATCACAGTCACCTGCTGCAGAGCCGATAATGGCATCAATAAAAGTAGCCACACGTCCTGAGAGCAGTGAGATGTGGCGATTTACATTTTTAAGAGGACTGTAAAGTCAAGCTTCCTCATATTCACTTTGATCCCACACAGCTCATCTAACTCGAACTAAAAAAGTGTGCAGTGCAGATGAGGTATGAGCATCAGTCGTTACCGTAACAGACGGCACAGCTCTTGACCCTCCTCAGGTCAGCAGCCGGCTCCTGTGGCCTCCTCAGCACCGTGAAGATGGAGTTTCCTGTGTCGTCAGCCTGAGAGGAGACAGCAGCTACCGTTACCGACCGCTTCGCTCGTTCATGACAAACAGAATTCCTCAACGACTGAGGGAAGACGACAAGCAGCTTAAAGAAAATGATGTTTTATTAAACTTTCCCTCTTCGGTCCATCTGTCTTGTATGTGCTTTATAACTGACAGCCATGAGAGAAGGCTTCAGGCACCACAGCTGTTTCTTCCTGTTGTACACTAACTTCTGGCTACACACTGTAAACATAACTGGAGCCGCACAGGGAGACTAAGTGCACAATGAGCTGGAACGACTTTGTGCTTGCAGGCCAAACAGGCTGGGAAAAAGGCCCTCACATCATGTGCTGAGAAGGTCCCAGATGTATTGGCTCAAGTGAGAGCAAAGAGTTTAAAAGGGAGATGATGAAACCGTGGAACCCTCCAGAAGTCATCACACTGTAAGGTCTAAAAAGGAAACGGGGACACCCTGACTGTAGCATCAAGAGCCAAATGTTTTTTAATCCAAGGCAAACACTCCGATAATCTCAGGGCGCCGTTGCTGTAACAGTGCTTACTGATTTATGAAGTCCCATCTTCATCCAAACCAGATATTACGATATCGACTCCACACTCCTGTATGTTCACACTAAGAGGCATGGTAGGTTTTGTGGACAGATAGGGTGGCACGCTCGCTGCATTATTGCATCACTTCCTGCTCCTGGTGCACCACATCAGTGGTGCTTGTTCAGTTGTCTAAAGAGCAGCAACATCAGCAGTAACTGTCTGAGAAGCTGGCTCTCTTCTGCTCACTTTGTCGGTTGTCCAATTATTCCTTTGCCTCCTTTAGCACCTGGTCGCCTGGTTGTAGCTCTGGAGGCCTGGCTCCCCACAGAGCCAGCCAGGCCCTGTGGTGCTTTGCAAAGGTACTGTTGGCCTGGTTGACTGTGTCCAAAGTGGGAAATCAGGCCAGTTTGGTGACTACGAGGAGGAAGTGTAGCCTCAAACAGAAACCTTCAGTACGTTTCCCTGTGTACAGACTCCCTGGACTGCTTCCTGTGTGGTGAGTGTCGGAGAGAGAGGCTGGTCGCGTGTGTGGATTGCCTGAAGAGGAATGAGCACTTTGCCCCTGGATTTCCCTGGAGCCCTGACCCCTCACCTTTTTGTATATACACCCGGTGTGCATCAGAGTCCTGCGTGTGAGTCCTCCACCTCAATCGTAACAGCAGCTCCCATTTCATTTATTAACCTTTTCATCTACGCTAAAAAAAAAAAAGAAAAAAAAAAGAGGCAGCACGGTGGTACGGTGGTTAGCACTGTTGCCGCACAGCAAGAAGATCCTGAGTTCAATTCCACATCAGGCCGGGGTCTTTCTGTGTGGAGTTTGCATGTTCTCCCCGTGTTTGCGTGGGTTCCTCCGGGTACTCCGGCTTCCTCCCACCGTCCAAAGACATGCAGCTTGTGGGGATAGGCTGATTTGACAATCCAAATTGCCACTAGGTGTGAATGTGAGTGTGAATGGTTGTCTGTCCCTGTGTGTCGGCCCTGCGACAGACTGGCGACCTGTCCAGGGTGTACCCCGCCTCTCGCCCTATGAAAGCTGGGATAGGCTCCAGCGCCCCCCGCGACCCTGAAAAGGATAAGCGGATGGATGGATGGATCTACGCTAGTCCATGCTGGTATCAACATACTGAGTTATCCTGACCCACTGAGTCACAGCCAGACTCCTCATCGCACAGGCCGAGGAGGAGGAGTGGCAGCACTTCAGCTTATTAACCAACCAAAGACACAGTTTGAATTCATTTAAAAAACTGTTAATAAGCAGTTCTCATTTGTTATAACAAACAAGACATAATATTTGGTTACAGATTATTACTTCAGTACTTCAGACTAAAGAAGAAACTGATAGTTGGGGTGACCCTGAATCCTTGTCGGTTGTATAAAATAATGTCCAGCTTATGAGTTTTCTGATCAAAGCTGTGTGTTTGAGCTACCCCAGGGAGTCACGCACTTCACATTCCAGGCTCTATTCTTTCTACAGAATCCAGAGTCAAGATAAAATGATTAGCAAGACACCAGAACACTTTTCTTAAAGGTAACGCAGTTTGCTACTTGATTGCTCCTGGGAAAAAGTAATTTGCTTCACTACCTGTTACATTAAAAAAAGCTGTCTCACAACCACAGTTTAGTAACATGAACCTCAGGCTGCACCAAAGCAAATCCCTAACGAGGACTCACATCTCTGAGATCTTTCTCTTAGCAGAACACGAAGCAAAGACTGATTCTACTTTAGAAACGTGAGCAGGTAGACAGGGAGGCTGCAGCCCGACTGCTGTTTGTTACCTGTGGAAGGTAAAGTCTGTCTGGGCAGCATCAGCAACAGGTTTCCTACAAAAGCTGTTTTTGGTTCCCATCCCCAGATGGTCTCAGTCAGGTTTTAAGTCAGACTAAATGAAAGATGATTTTGTGCATGATGGTGCAGTTTAAAGTGTTCAGGTTAATTCATCAACATCGTTTTTTCCAACAACAGAAAAACTATGAAACATGTTTGAGAATTCATTTGTAATGTATCGTCTAATTTTAGCATGTTCACCATGGACCTGATGGAGGCTAAATCAAACTCACCTCCATCGCCTGATTAATCGCGGGAACGTTCCTCAGGGAGATGATTGCTGGGACGATGTTCAGAGCCCGGTACTCCATAATGGCAGTAAGAATGTCAGTGTTGTCCTGAGACGCTCCATTGGTGAAAAACACGGCCACCTTCCTCACCATGAACCCAGCTCGCACTCGTTTGAAGATGTTCTGACCCACAAAGCGCATGGCGGCGCCCAGCTGGCGTTTGTTGGACGTCTTCTCTAGGGCGATGTTCTTCACAGCTTCTATCAGCGCAGTCTTGCGATGGTAGTCCTGGAAGTGGATCAGGTACTTGGTGTAGGCGCTGTATCCAACCACAGCCACGCGAGCGCCTTGTGGACAGTTGCTCTCAGCGATGCTCAAGTCCTCCAGCAGGTGGAGGAGGGCGGAGCGCTGCCTCTCGAGGGCCGTCGGAGTCACGTCGTCAGACATGTCCAAGCCGAACACCAGCTCGGTGGGGTAGGCCGGACACTGTGACTCACCTGGAGGAGGTAACGTCAGGAAGAGCTGAAGTGAAACGACCGCGGTGTTGGAAACACGCTCAGGCCGATTAACAGATACTCAAAGACGACTAGTTACAAGTTACAAAGGACTTCTGCTACTCAGTAAAATCCACCAAGCAGTTGGAGACAGTTTCAGATAAAAAGGTGCAAATATGTCCCGATGATCTCAGTCAGTCGGCATCTGTGGACAAAGTCTTTGTGCTGTACTCACCATGTTTGTTCTCACTAAGAGGAGACGTACGTACCGTGTGAACAAGCTGTGTGAAGCAGAAACACATTCACTTATCACAGCGCTCGTACTCTGCAGTTTGCTTCCACAAACGTTCGTTTTAGTTTCCATCCTCTACATAAAAACTCATAAACAAACAGCTGATCATTGTTTTGCAAACGTGTTTAAAGCGATGACACTTACCACAGTTGTCCCTGATTTTGTTGATCAGTTCGCATTCCTGAGACGACAGAAAATGTTCTTTGTAACAACATATTTATTTTAAGCAGGTGAAGCGATTTAAAGGTGGACTTACAGACAGGCCTCTGCTCCCAGGAGGACCTTTCGGGCCCTGGATGGAGGAAAAACAGAGATTATTGTAAGTTTATTTGGGAGGATAATCAAATGTGACTTTTATCTGTGGCTTCCACAGGGTGATGACCCGCTTCCTTTACATGGTGCCGGTTTTACGTTGATGTGGTCCCTCCCTGACAACGGAACAGGATGCAGCGTTACTGCTGGAGTCTGCCAGTCATGGATGGATCTTGTGTGATGTCTGTTCCTATGGACAGTGATCCCAGCAATTTGTGATGCTGTGT